ATATTGAGAAAGCTACTCTTCACATTGGGCTACTTATGAAAAGCATTTTTACGATTCTTCGGAATTAATCATTGTATAAGGTCCCTTTTCCCTACTCCATTCCCTTTTGTCACTCGAATCAACTTTGTGTTTGAGAGGAAATCTCTTCATACTAGAGGAGATGTAACAGAATACGAGTTGACTGGCACAAAGTTGCCTTGTCTGAAATCGGCTAAAAAATGCATGCTTATTATTTGGTCTAACTTATACTTGATTATGTAGCAATTTGTTATTCAGTTATCAGGAAGATTTCATTTTACATCTGATTGTGAATCGATCAATGTATTTACGGTAATTCAATTTGTATCACACATCTTATCAATGATAATAAGTGACTGAGAATATTTGAATTTTTAAAGTTAATGGAATCTTGATTAAATTTAGATATGATTTGAATTCTTTCATTCTAAACCGGTATCATAATTTCAAAATACCTTTTATTTTTCATGTATCATTTACGACTGCAGTAGCTGAAGGGTAGTAGACACGAGCTTGTGACTGACGTTGAATCATGGGTTGAAGTCCTGATGCGACTAACGGAGGTTTCCCACAAAGCAACTTTGTGGTAGTCAGTTCGTTTTCTGTCACCACTCCTGTAGTGTGAAGAGGAGAGAGAACCCTTTTACATGCAAACAAAAGTTGACTGAAAAAGGATTGCCAGACTCATTTGTATAATAATTGAGTCCGCGAAAAGCAATGAAAAACATTTTCAATACACAAGTAGCCACATGTGAAGATCGTAGCCTCCACAATATCCTTTTAGTTGAATCAACTAGAGGAGGAGTTCGTGGTTTTGAGAGCTTGAGGGAGTTCCAGTTGACCAAGTGTGAAGATACCCTGGAGATTTCTTTTCAAATCTAGTTCCCGACTGTATGCTCCTTCTGTTATGTGCGGTACAATTTGACTTGTATGAAAAGGCCCTACAGATAAGGTGACCATTTCTTTTACAATGAAAAGGAGGACGAAAAATTTAAGAAAAAATTGCAACTTAAATATATAAATCGCTTTATTAATTCAAACGAAAATATGCTGATTACACTTACATTCTTTTTAATTATTATCTTAAAAGAGTATTTTCCCATTGAATGATTTTTTGTCAACATATCATTTTCTAACATATCGGAAAGTTCGGGCAAAAAATATCCTTCATACTGAATTTTACGGTAAGCACTCTGGCTAAAATATTAACATTCAATTTTGATTTCTCACTAGTCGCTTCAAAAATCATTTGAACAGAAAAAAACTCTTTCAACTGCTACCATTGGGTTTCCCGGGCAGCACAACGTAAATTCAACAGAATAATTACATTTTTTATATGGAATTGCTCATTTTGAAATGGTTTAAGTAATTTACCCATCTTTTTTCCCAAATTTTTGGGGTGTTGATTTTCCAATTGTTCTAATTTATTAGCATTTAAATATACATTCAGTCTTTTTTCTACTTCAAACAGGCAATTGTCATCGATTTTAATATCAAGCATTTCTTTCTATAAAAACTCAACGTAATTTTCCATATCTGCCCACTTTACTTGAGACCAAGTCAAAAAATACTATTGAAAACTGTTATTTCCTGAGATATTAGTTTCAGACCATTCTTCGGCATTTTGGAAACATGTTGGTTCATCTCTGAATACAGAGATTAACAGATCAGTTTTACAACATTGAAAAGGAGGACACTCTTCGAGGAAGGACAGAACCTATAAAATTAGAACTGTCCTCCCTAAAGGAGGACGGTTGGTCACCTTATTAAAGACCCATCGCTTAGCGGAATGACGCTTGTTAAATCAATCGAAAATGAAAGTCTTCGCTTGGCGTGTCCCGGAAGTTTGGAGAGTGGGTTGCCAGCTCAAATTTTATCCTCCATACTTGACCATAATACAAAATTACGAAAACTGTTATCAATGGCCCTTGGATTGCTTCAGAGGGCTATGTTAATAAATAAATGACCAATGCATACATTATTTAATTTTAGAAGTGACACCATGAGGTTTCGAAAAGTCCACTTGTTTAGTCTAATTCTAGATAAATTTTCTGATGTTGGTATTGATTTTTGCGTTTAGGAAGAACCACGGTAATTTTTGTTCTATTTTAATGATGCATGGGTCTCGAACCGTTTTTGGTTTGTGAAAACCCGAGTCCAAATTTTAAATATGTGACCCTTACATTACACATCCGTAATATATTTAATATTTGTACAATTATATTCCACTTATAACCTTAAAAATTTGAAAATTTAAAAAGAAAAATGTAAGATAAAAGTTAATATATATATATATATATAAATTCAGAAAAGATTGGAAACTTATGTTTTTTTTCATCTTATTTTTTGGACGCTATTCAGTTGCACCATTTCTCTCATCCCAACAGAGACTAATCAGTAGATATTTGCAGAAACGTAGTTTACTAGAACATTTATCTTCAATAACACAAAAAATAAATTTTACAAAGGATACTAATTAACCATTAAAGAATGAAACCTGACTTCTATTAACTTTTCGTATAGGTTAGTGGGTGCTTAAAAAAGATTTTTCATCGAAAATTTTCACAGACAATTTTTCTTCCAATAAATGAAAGATTCTAGATAATACAAATAATGGCGTACACAAATTTGGAATTTGAGGGTTCATTCCCTCTCCAATATATACACCAAGATATTTGTTTTAAATTTTGCGCGAAGATTAATTACACTTTGGCACTTTTTTCTACTTGTATTTTAACCCGGGAGCGGTAGCGAGGACAGAGCCACCCCCAGGGTCACGAAATCATTAATTCTGAGAAAACTGTTTATTTTTTACCAATGGCCTTGACAAAATCCTCTTATATGACAGTCTTTACGGAAGCTAAAATCTATTTTTCACATATTTCTCTCTTTATATGGAGAGTGGCAAACGTTTTTTTTACAATCTTAAGGTACTTATTTTGATTGAGTTCCCCACGCGACCACTTTTACCCCAAAATCTTTTCTATGAACATGCTACATTTTTCTCCTGTAAAAAACTTAATGATTTTGATTGCTGTATTGCACGACTTATTTTGGTTTATAAATGTAAATGAGCAGAATATGAAAAAGAAAGAAAGTCATCTGTGATCTCTTTCGAAGGAAGTTGAAACTGATCAAGCAAGGGAAGAACATGCTGAAATAATGCTATAATAATCATGGTAGTGCAAGTAAATTTGAGAAAAGTGTGAATATGAAACGTTTAAGTTGAAAGGAAAATTTTCAAGTACTACTACTAAAGAATTCCATCAAGAAAAATATAGAGCCATAAGTGCATCACAAGACACACTTCATAAAAACACGCATACAAGAAAAAGTTGAACTTGCTATTGTAGATCCTCACAAAGGACAGTAAAACTTCAATAACTTAACTCAGTGGCGCAACAACCCATGAGGGCCAAGGCCTACTGTACCCAACTCAGTAAACCTGACCTTGGGCCCTGAAGTGCATGAGCAAATGCTCCGGTTATGTTGTCAGTCTGAAGCGAATCCTCCAGTGTTAAGTTCCCAAGCAAGCTTGGTACTCCAAACTTCAATAACTTGAACAAAATATGACAGTTTTGCCTGCAAATAACCCCTCGGGGGCTCACCTTCTTTAGGTGGGTACGGGTATCATGAACCCGGGGTACCCCAGTGATCCTTCTCTATTTTCGACCCTCCATCTTGTCATCCAATTTCTTCTTTTCCCGTCCAGACCGCAGACCTATGAATGTTTGGAGCAGTATAGCCAAAACTGGCTCTTGCGCCATAAAACACCAAACTCAACTCAACTCATTGCCTGCAAATAACTTTCCTGTAATGTCAGCAAAAAGTTTCTGTAATCTGTGTCCTTTATCTAAGTCACGCACTTCTGAAACTTCTTGGTTCAATTGATTGATATTTTTCTCAAATTATCAAAGAAAAATTGAGATAAGTCTTTAAAAGTAGGGAAGTGTTTACTTTCTCAGTAAATTATTCACCGGAATAATGATTTTTGTCGTGTACACTAAGAATAGTTATAAAAGAATTCGGGAGTGACTCCGTCACGAGGGTCTTCTACACGGGTTAAAATCTAAATCCTTCCCCCCTATTTTGGTACTCCACTGTCATCCAATTTCTTCAATTTCTTCTTTTCCCGTAGAGACCTAGTTTGTTTTCATTACTTAACTTTTTCGCCATAAATCAAATCAATACGCCTGCAATTTAATTTTCCTTGTAATGTCAGCAAAATTTTCTTTTTGGATCTAAGTCGCACTAATTCGGTTCTAATTAAATATTTCTTCAATTATCAAAAAATTAAAAGTTTTGGGGGAATTTTAAAACTTTTATATAATATTAAACCGGAATTAATGATTTTTGTCTTCACGTAGTGTTAATAAATGGTGGTGACCTACAGTGTGTTCTTCTCCCGGGGTTATATTTTCCCCTTCCACCTAATAAACATCCCCCATATCAATTTTCTATCAAATTTCCCCTTTTAGGGAGTTTGTTTTATTATTTTAATTTTACGTATTGTTTTTATCATAGGAACTTTATTATACCTAGTAGAACCTAAAGCATTATTGTTTCGATTGAATATTAACGGTACTAATTCATTTTTTCGTACACGAATGATTTTTGGCGACGGACCATAACTTTTTATATGATAGAGTAAACGTAAATTTAATGGTGTCTCTTCCCCTGTTAATAATGTGAGAGCCAACCCATGGAGACAAATTACTTATAAAATTTTAATGTGCATCGCTATAACCCTATTACTTCTTTATCAAATACTAGGGTCCAATTCGTGACAAGGTTGCACGTTTTTTTTACCTCTGAACTCTGATCCCAAGGAAATAGAAAGCATACAATACAATGGAAGAATATACACACATTTATTACAGATGATGATAGAAGCATGTAACAAGAAGGGGTGCGCTGCTTTCCTTTCGAGATGGGAATCCATTACAGGAGAAAGACGAACTTCTTTCCCGAAGATACAACCATGTCTTACTCGGGATTCGATCCCGAACCTACTCGGTTATAAGCCGAGGGTCATAACCCCCATACTGGCTGGGCGACTAGGGGTCCATTTAAGTTAATTTTAGAGAAAGTGTTAACTAATTTTTATTTTATCTTAGTTTTATCCTATAATTTTTTAATGTATGCATGCTTAATTTTCTGGAATATTTTCACTAAAAAAAGAACTGCAAGAATAATTTCACCTCTCACGTGAAATAAAAAATTCGATTCAAAAAAAAATTTTGCTTAAACATCGTTGACATTCTTCAGCGAATTCTTAATCATGTTAAATCATTCATGTGGTGCAAATTAGATGAAATATGTAATTATATCAAAAATAAAATTATTGTTACTAATTTTTCACAAAAAAAAATAATAACCAACACACACTCACACACTTATTTTTAATACAAAAATATAACTGTATCTTAGTCTGAAAAAAATCAGATTATTTGCTTTTAAAGGAAAGGAATGTAGAAAAAGTATATTCTAAATACTAAAATAAATTTCTGAGATATGTTTTAAAAAATTCTTAGAAATGTAAACACAAATTTTTAAAAAGGTTATAGAATGTTTCATTATAAAAGATTTAGTAAATATCTAAAGGATTATTTTTTTAATCGTATTATATATTATTAAGTCTTACGATTTCTTTTTATTGTAATTAAATTGTAATTCACATACTACAGAAATACTGAGGCTATGAATTGCTTTAGTAAATCAATATCAGTGCGAAAGGCAAAGAAAAAAATATAAAAATTGTATTCAAACTTAAATGGAAAAAACATCTATGTGTTCTATTTGTGCTGAAACTCCATAAAAATTATCTGTCTGATATTTCTTTTTCGTTCTTATAAAGATGATATATGAGCGCTAAATTAACGTATTGGGTTGGCAAGAAAGTAATTTCGGTTTCTTAGTACGAAATCTTTCTGCCCAAAAAATTAACTTTAATCTGTCAAATATCTTCCATTCTGTTCAATTTCATACTGTCATTTTTCTGATAACTTCAGGAATCCACTCTGCGTTTCTGGTCCTTATTAGCATAACACTCGACCAAGAGTGTGATTTTAAATCATCATTATATTTAAGGTTTGTACCATTTAAAAAGTTTTGTAAAATTCAAAATAAATTATAATTAAATGGTGCAAAAAAAAGGTTGAAGCGATATGAAGAATGTGACATCCCTTATATGAACAAAGTTCCAATAATTTCGAACGTCTTGCTAAAAATATGCTAAAGATACATCAAGTTTGGTCCATGATCTTTTCAATCCATGTTATTGATCCGTTTTTCATCCCCGATCTTGCACCACCGGATTACGTTTTATATCGAAGTTTAAGATATGGTAATTATTAAATTATAAAATTATTTAATTGGTAAAAATTTCAATGATAATGAGGGCTAATTCCCTCTTGGCTGAAATTTGTTGCTGAGAGGGCAAGAAACTCTACGAGCTCAGAATTATGAAGTTTCCAGAAAAATGGCTGCAGTAGTCAACAGAATGAAAGATAAATTTATTGATAAATATTGATTTGTATGTATATATAGAATGGAAAAATTAATAGTATAAACCAGAAATAACTATCTAGCCAACCCAATATTTTTTATCCCGTATAAATAAAAGATAGTAATAATGCAGTAATACATCAAAGAACATGTACATAAGATGTCCGCAAATTATGAAGAGTTTTAGTAGATCATGTATACATATTCTGAATGCAGACATCATAATCATTTTTTCTATCACAAGGAGAATTTTCTTAATTACAGACAATTGGTCATTTATTGGTTAAATAATACCAAAATGGGAAAGAATTATCAGATTCTGAATAAAATGGAAACATTAAATAAATGGGGTAAAAAAAAAACAATTTGATCCTATTCAGAACATAAACCAATGGACTAAGCTCATGCGACGTCCCGATCACGTGACGCTTGGGGCAAGAGAATACGTTGTAGTGTGTTTCTATACCACTATTGCTACGACTATTTTCCTCTCGCACTTTTACATTCTACTTTCTAAAATGTCTTACTTTGCTGAAATAGTTGCTCAAACAGTAAAAGAAAGGATTATATTGTAGGAAAAAAACATTTTTTAATATATCGGTAAGAAATACATGTGTTTTAAAAACATGGATAAGAATGATGAAGTGTGAGGATTACAAACCCTCTCCTCACTGTTTATTATGTGTTCCGATCACTTTGAAGAGGAATGTTTTCAATACTAACCATTTACGAATCGTCACCAGCTAAAACCGAGCTCCATTCTCACTATTTTTGTCTTCACAAAAGAAACCTCTTCTAAAGGGATTTTGGATAGATGTAGACTTCCACAAGAATGTAAATACTTCAAAGCAAGTTTTTGTTTATTTTAAATAAAATTACATAGAGAACATACATAAAAAAATAAAATACGTTAGTTAACTTAAAAGCAAATTTTTGTTTATTTTAAATTAAGTTATATTGAGAACATATAATGTTTAGTTAACTTAAATTTTACTCATTTTACTCTACATATATTTATAATATATTAAATAAATGGTAAAAAAAAAATTGTTTTTATTCAGAACATAAACAAATAGGATGGTGTTATTATTCAATAATTTAAAGATTATATTATACTTATAAAATAGTCACTTTTCATATTTGCAAACAAAATTTATAAAAAAGTGTGTGTGTGTGTACTTATGTACGCACGTAAGAAGTTATACTTCTTTAGCGTAACAAGATTAAAATCTTTCTAAAATCTTGAGCAGGGCAAGCTGGGCCAAGGACGAAAGGCGGTCACGAGCAGAGTTGAACGATACTAACCTTAAGTCAATCGGACAAGCCAAACCCGAGATAATCACGATTTAAATAAATTTAAACACCCCCGCACAGGGACAATAGGACCAATAATATGGGGAGGGGGTCGAAGGCGGGAATGATCAGTCCCGTTCTGCATATTTCTAGACAGCATTTTCGTATCCGTTCCTACGGAACGCAAAGCAAAGGTTCTCTGACACGGGTGTATGACTCAGTGGTAGAGCATTCGACTGCAAATCGGGAGGTCCCCGGTTCAAAACCGGGTGCCCCCATTTTCAGAGAAGTGAAGAGAAATAATTTTTTTGAGAATTTTGAAGGCGGCAATGATCTGTTCCGTTCTGTATATTTCTAAACAAAGCATTTTCGTATACGTTCCTACGGAACACAAAGCAAGGGTTTGCTGACGCGGGTGTATAGCTCAGTGGTAGAGCATTCGGCTGCAGGTCGAGAGGTCTCCGGTTCAAACCCGGGTGTCCCCTTCAGGGAAGTGAAGAGAAATATTTTTCTGAGAATTTCGAAGGCGCGAATGATTTGTCCCGTTCTGTATATTTTTAGACAAAGGATTTTCGCATCCATGACGGTGTGCATCACATCTGTGACGGTGTGCACGCGCATTGTAAAAATTTACCCTCATCATATTTCTCTAACGCCCCAAAAGAAGTATAACCAAAAATTTGTAATTTGTTTGTATTGTTCATATATCTGTTTATTATTTTAAATATATTAGTTGTGTCTTACGATAAAATATAAGTTAATTTTATATTTATTTAAATTTTAATATGAATATATATATATATGAGTAGTATAATTAAATCACACACACACATACAATATGTTTAGTCCTAAATGTCTGCAAATTTATTACAGTAGAGATTTTTATGCGCATGGACCCTTTCAAGAAGAAATGTTGTACTGTTACAAAAATTTCAACTTAATTACTTAATTCCGTGTATAACCTAGAAGCAAGATAAAAAGTTAAACTTGGTAAAAGCAAGTCATACGGCAATCACGCCTTCACACACGTATATTAAATACTTGCTAACATATACTCATAGGTAAAACGACTTCAAAACACTTTCAAAGATTGGTTAAAAAACCTCACGTCTGTATTATTTGACATAACTGTTTGTTGTGGTAAATGAACATCAAGTTCATAACTATCAGAGTATATACTAACTAGAAGCAAACTTCGTTTTAAATCTTAAATGTATTGGGGTTACTCCTACTGTTAGGCAAAAAAAACAACATTTAAATATTTATTTCTCGTAAGTCCTTCAGCGAACCAATTTTGAGTAACTGCTGGAAGGAAACAATCTTATAAGTAATAAAAGAATTTTATAAGAGTTTAGACATAAAGAGAGGAAGTCATAAATACTGGGCTGAAGAAAACAAAAGGAATTTCATTGCCGAAGGAAGGACAATATGTCTTAAGGACACCCTTCTACGTTACCTTCTCTTTTTTCTTTTTATTTTCATCGTAACACATAACTGCATCCTCATCAGTACGTGACATCTTAGAGAAAAAAAATCTTTCTTTGTTTATAGCACTTTCTTCAATTGTATTTCTTTTTGCGTTCTTTAGACTTTGTTAATTTTTATAGAGCTATAGATTCCTTATAGTAGCTTGTCTGCTCGTTAAGAACTTCTTTGTTTTGAAGAAGTGAAGAAAAACAATTCTTATCGTGCATCGAGATGTTTTGAAAGACATAGTTTTAAAACTTTATAATGGGTTAGAAGGGTTGTGTTTGGGGAAATTAAGGGCGTGGTTTTCAAAAACAAAAAAAATCTTTTGAAAGGGGTAATGACTTCTTAAGGTTTATGTATATGTCTAGAGTTTTCTATGATTCTAAATACACAAAACTTCTATGTTGATTGC